GAAGTTGCTAATGAAGCGCAGGATTTAAATGACGAGTAACAGTTAATTCAAGCGAAGGGTTTTGGATCGGATTACCGCATCTACACGCTGCAAGTTAAATTGAGCGACCAGCATTTTAAAATGGCGACCGGCCGCAAATATGCTAATCAAGCACGGGATATTTAAATCCCGCGCTTCATTAGCAACTTCGGTATGCTTCATTTGCCTTCCTAGTCCGAACTAGGGGACAAGTGTAGACATACCCTATTATATTCCGGTTATACTTCAAACACAAATCCATATGCTCCCCCCAATGCAGATGTAACTCCTGAGTAGAAGAGGTGTACAGCTTGAAGCCACACACACAAAAATCCATATTTTATCCTTAACAACAAGGTTGTGCTAGCACAAAAAACCACTATGAGTGTGGTGCTGGTAAACTCAAAACCTGTGCATCTGCATGGAAATCATGTTCCTAACCCACAGAATTCTGACAGAGGCTAGGGACACCAGCCTTGCCCATCCTGGCTAAAAGCCATTGATGGACCGAACTTCCATGAATTTATCTACCTCTAGGCAGAAATAATGCCGGCTACCCACTCAACAATCTGCAAATGTTTGAGGGGAGCAAGCTGGGTAAAGCAGCTGTTCCCCAATTGTGCAACTTCCCAACTCATGTTTGTAACACAGGGGGCTTTTCCACAAGCAGCAAGTAGTCAGCATGTTGCAAAGCCTAAGGAGTACAAGAAAGCTGCTAACCTTCCTCTGTTTTGAGGGCATTCTTGCCCATTTTACCATTTGTTCTCTTCTACAATACAAAGTAAAGAAAACAGAACCTACTAATTACTGTTAATAGAACTATTTTCTACACACTATTTTTAGTATCCATTATAAGTGATTTTTTTAAAAGAAAGACATTTTGGGATATATTTTTCCTCTAGCTATACAACAATGAAAATGTCAAGTCACCACATTGTTACTAAAATTATAGAGGTGAAAAGATCCCTACATATTAATAGGGGTGTTTTTAAACTATTAATATCAGAAGGAAAAGATTTTGTGTCCGTCGTTTTGAAAAACTCTGAATAGATTTTCTTGGGTTACGAGTGTGTTTTCAACTGGAGATGGCCATTGAAATGAATAAAAACCAAGGAAGTGCTGCCAAGTGAAGTCTTGGCTCTAAGTCTAACTTCTTCTGGAAGTACTTTGTGGGTAAGACAGCTGAATGGATCGCTATACAACTAGCAGTGTGGGTATTTAATTATTTCCGTTCTTCTGTTCTCTGGCTGCATAGTATAGTTTTGCTTGTGCAATAAGCGCCATTTCTGTGTCAAACTCTATTTTAATTTTCATTTTGTATTGTTCATACATGGGGTTTTTTCCCCCAATAAAGATTCTTCTTAATTCCTTGCTGGACAAGTCTAAAAAATTAGCTATTAGACTTCAAGTTCTTTAGTGGCCAGGTGCCATATATGTCCAAATATCCAGGGTCACTTGCCAATGACTGTGGAACTTTCATGATGTATTAGATCTGGGGTTTACTGAAGGACAGGCTATTTCCAATGTTGCTTTAGTAGGATCAGAGCCGGTTCGAGCCATTCCTGCGCCCTGGGGAGCAGGCGTGTGACACATGCGCAGCTCCGCGCCCGGAGCATACACAGCCCCACCCCCGGCGCGCTGCACACCTTACAACTGCAATCGGGCGTGCGGCACCTGATGCCAGCTCTAAGGGGGGCCACGCAGCCCCTGGCCCTGGGCGTGCGGTGCCTGATGGCAGCTCTAAGTGGCGTCATGCGGCCGGGCACATGGCGCCCCTTAAAGCTGCCATCAGGCGCCCCACATAGGTTGGCGCCCTGGGCAGGTGCCTAGCTAGCCCCCTCTTAATCTGGCCCTGAGTAGGATAACAACTGCCCCAGCCAGTGCCTAGGCTGTTGACAAAGAGTGTTTAGACTACATCAAGCAGATAGACAAGACAAAACTATTCGCTTTGTCGACAGAGAGCATCCAGACTGCAGGATGCTCTGTCGACAGAAGAAAGTACCCGGAACTGCTTCTGCCAGGTCACAGGGGCAGCATGTACTTGCTGGTGCTGCTGCCTGCCCTTTGCATGCTAAAAGGGACCTCCTGCCCCCAACTAGCTGTTGTTCTGTTGCTGCAGCTGCCTTGCTTACCTCCAAGAGGGACAGCAAAGGTTCTGCAGTGCTTGCTTGGAGTGCCCTGCTTCCTGGCACAGCACAGCAGTGTGGGTTTTTTTGGGGGGGGAAGGTTTTTTCCTTTGTTTGCCATGGAGTGAGAGCTTCCCCTGGCCAGGCGCTGGCCCCACTCCATGGTGCTTCAAATGCTGCTGCAACTGCATGAGACTATCATGCTGTTAATGCCTGGTCCGGAACCTGAGCCCAGACTGGAGCCCCTCCTTCAGGATGCAGCAGCACTGTTCCTGGTGTGGGTTTTTTTGGGGGGGGAAGGTTTTTTCCTTTGTTTGCCATGGAGTGAGAGCTTCCCCTGGCCAGGCGCTGGCCCCACTCCATGGTGCTTCAAATGCTGCTGCAACTGCATGAGACTATCATGCTGTTAATGCCTGGTCCGGAACCTGAGCCCAGACTGGAGCCCCTCCTTCAGGATGCAGCAGCACTGTTCCTGCCTCCAAACTTTTTCCCGGAGAGGCGATTTTGGAGGATGGAAACAAGTATGGACTGGTGGGACCGGCTCGTAATGGAGCAGTGGGATGACCAGGCTTGGTTCTGAAACTTCAGGATGCAGCAGTCCACCTTCCTGGAGCTCTGCAACTGGCTTGCCCCGACCCTGCAATGACAGGACACCCACCTGCGCCCTGCCATCTCGCTGGAGAAGAGGGTAACTATTGACCTCTGG